AAAAAAAAATTTCTGAAATCCAATTCTTCCCTCCTCGCCCAAATTGAATTATTTTTCAGTTCCTGAGGGCCATAAAAAACACTTCAAGAAAACAACTYAAAAGCCGCTGAGAATATGTTAAAAATAACAAAGAAGCGTGGGCAGACTGGGCGACTGCAATGCCATGTGCATTCTGGCCCTAAATAAATTCTAACGGCACTACAAATGCAATACACAAGGCAAAATATTAATCCAAATACGAATCACTCAGACCATTTTAATTGCTTTTATCGCAACACAAAAGCTACAGGCATATGCAKAGCAACGGCGCCAGAGAGCGCTCTCAGCGATCTTGAGCGATCAGTAAAAAACGAAGCAGTTCTTAAGCCAAAAGCAGCAGCAAGCACTTGACTATGCGCATAGAGTGCGCTAACAGCGACGCGGAGTGTTGAGTGAGAGCGCAGCGCTGTGCAGGTGTGGGCGCTACTCAGCTTTGCATTGAAATACTCGCAGCATTGAGCGGCGACGAACGAACACCTTGCATCTGTGACGACTMCATCAGCGCTGCATTAGCATTAAAGAGACCTCACGACACGACCACACAACAGTTGTAGTCACATTTGCATACTCGTACTCCTCGTACTCACACCTTCTCGAGTGGGCCGGCCGGTCCCATTCAGCGCGCCGCCAAGATTTTATGTGGCAGCTTCAGTTGCACGTCGCGTGTCTCGCATTTTTCATCGGTTTAGCGGTAAACAGCTTGGCCGCCGCAACCAGCTGACGTTATCGCGCAATTCACGCTGTGTTTTTTTTTTTGGTGCATCCGTTGTTCTTGTCACAGCATAATTTATGTTTATTTTCGGAAGCGGCGCATAGTGTGGGCTTTTGATTCAAAAGTGATTTCATTGCATTTGTGAGCTGTGAAAGTGATGAATATGATTCGTTGCCAAACTTATACATATTTGTATGTATGTGTGTGCACATGTGTTGTGAAAAAATATTAAAAATAAATATGGTGCAAACAAAAAATTAGCGTCTAGCTGCAACAAGTGCGAAATTGCCATTTCTTTTTTTTTTTTTTTTACATCCGTCAAAGCGAAGCGGGTGTTATGTGCAAATAGCGTTGATTTATTTATTATTTTTGTTTGAGCGTGGAAATTTATATTTTTTCGGTTTATGTGTGATATCGAGTGTATATACTTGCATAGATATGTATATGTCTTAAAAACAAATATTTTTTTAATTTGTGAAAAGCAAGCTTTGTAAATTTTGTTCACATCTAAATCAGCTGCCAATTTATTAGAGTGCTTCTGTGAGTATATGCAACAAAAACATTAAAAAATTCTTTATTTGAATAAATGGGTTCATTATTAAATTTTTTACTTAATATTATTTATATTTGTTTTTTTTTCTGTGCTAGATTATGACATCAATCAGTACAGCATATTAAAGCGTTGACATCTCTGTCATTTGACTTTAAATTGCCATTTCAAATTCRTGCTAATTTAAAATATTTTACCAAAATTTTAAGGTGATTGAAAGGGTTAAAATGTTATTGAATATAATCTAAGTTCGATTTCTGTCAAATATACCATCTGATCAAAAATAACCCGGACAAACAGAAACTAGAGTTCGCATCGGCTCATAAGCTAATAAGAGCATGCCAAAGCTTAATCCAATTACACGTTTTTTATCAGCCTCGGGTTGGACTTTAGTGTCCTAAGCAAATTTTGTTGGTTTGGTTTTGATTCATTTTGGAGCGTTATTCGCTACATTGTTGAACAGTTTCGACATCTTATTCATAAATCCACATCTCAGTAGCAGTAATGATAAGTTTGTTTAATGTAGAGTCTGCAGCTACTCCCTCAAGGATCTCTTTCGAATTTTGTTCTCTTTCGAACCTCTTATCGACATCATCTGTGCAACTGATTCAAGTTTTTTTTTTGTTTTTTTTTTTTTTTGCTACGAATCTAGCATTTATCCGCTTCATACCCAAAACTCTAACTCAAATGTGTTGTGTCGATCCAATAAGATATGAGGAAATCCTCTGCTATCTCACTAATGCCAACACGACGATTTTCATACACTGTTTCTTGAACTTATTTGATGTTATCATCAATAATAGAGGTAGATGGACGACTCGCGTGAAAAAATCTGAATGAATTTTGGTATATTTTTGAAAAGAGTTCTCGTGGCAGAAAACTTATTAGAATTTGACRGTTTCTTAACAAGAAAATTTTTGTTCAGTGTTGAAGCTCACTTTGGTTTGAATGGGTGTGTTAGTAAGCAAAATGGTTTCATTTGGAATGATGATAATCCACAACTCGTGGTTGGTTTGGCTTGCTCTATGGGCAGATGGTTCCAACAAGACAGGCATACGTATCATACAGCCAAAGAAACAATAAATTTATTGAAGGAAATTTTTGGCGAGCGCATTGTCTTGCGTAGTGAGCCTCTAGCGTGCGCTCCAATATCTTGTACGATTAACAGCGCTGGAATATTTTTTGTGAAGTAATGTGAAGTCCATTGTCTGCGCAGATCGACCCGAGACGATTCAGAATATTCTCTTAAATGGAATTTATTGGAGTCAGTCACGGCGGTGTTTTGTCCGCATAATGGCAAACTCTTATCTTGATAATAAATCCTTGCCCCTAACATTCAATTATTACCTTCTTGAAAACCACATGTYTGAAAAAAAATTTTATATTACTCAGTGAAGGTGGGAGCAGTGATGGATGGAAGCGTAGGCCCCCCTTCCAGAATCAGAGATCTGCAATAGTTTTTTACGGCTATTTTTCTCCAACAATTCGCTAACAWCATCCCTGGTTCATTGATTTCTCTTCCTCACATTGATATTATAATAATAAATAAGCCTGTGTAATTTTTTCGTCCAGTCCCGCTAAYACTCGTACTCTAGAGATTTTTTGCGTTATATTAACCACCGTGTGATGTGTTTCTGAAACGATTTTTGTTCGCTACCTACCAAAGTGTATACATCTGTTTGGCAATAAGGCAATATGTAGAAGCATTACCAGTTCCTTCTAAAATTTGAGATTTTTTTGGAAAATATTTGTATATCTTAAATAAAAAGAAAAAATTAAATATCGAGATGAAAATTCTTCATTCGTAAAAACAGTGGTATGTAACATGGGTTTTTGTGGATAACTTTACTTTCGAGGTCGAAACTGGAGGGYGACAGTTAGCRATTCCAAGTGTAGCTAGGTCCCTCTCCACCTCATCTATCCAACTGAGCGAAGGTCTTCTTCCTTCTCGTTCGGAAACCTTCGAAGCTGGAGTGTTCTCGTCCATTTGCTGCTGTCTTTTCATTCGCTGAACCATCTCTCATACGAGATTGTTGTTTCCTTTTCATTGGGGCCGCTTTTTACGTGATGGCTCCCAAATCCAGCGYACAACCCTGTTGGGTTATGGTTCGCCTTCTCACTGCAGCTCGTCTTCAAACCGATGTTCTTTGGCTACCCGGATGATATTACTYTTCTACATTCTAAAACCATCTCCATTCTTAAATTCTTCGAATTTTTAAACGCGTAAGCCTTTGTTGGAAATWGATAAGATACTAACATGTTTTAAGTGCTTTCCGAGTGGTTGCTCGTATACTTTATGCTTTCTCGGGCGATAAAAAAAGATGATCTCTGGAGAATTTTATGATTTTATTTTGGTATTTCTTCAATCTCAATCTTAGCATTTGTGCGCAAAAGTTTCGACTGCAGTATATAGAAACAGATTTAGAACCATAATCATTTCATTATAAAGAAGAAACACTCATAAAAATTGTTTCTACCGATAGTTTCTTTATGTATATTTTTTTTCCTATTTCAGCATTTTATAATTACTTCGGTTTTGTTGAAAATTCCATGTGAACTAAATATAAAATATATATATCGACATATTTTTCGTCGTTCACCCAAATCCATCAATTTATGCTTCGCATTACCGAAGACTTGCACAATGTTTCTTATATTGTTTTTGGCCATAAACATTTTGTTTACTCACATGTTTCCCRCCGCACAGATGCCAACAGGCTAATAGGCTACACAAATAGCTCTCTGGACCCGTGACTAGATTTCACGTCAGTCATATAAATTATTATTAGAAATCACCAAGTCAGTCGCCCCAGTAAAGAAAAGATTTTCATGGAAAATAAGACGCAGCTAATAAATTTCGTATTTACATGCATAAAATATATAGCACAAACACATACAAAACACAACGTCTGAGCATAATTGCTATGTCGACACTTTAGTTAGGGCGCCCTAAACTATTTCTGTCGCCATGAGAATTTATGTATTTTTGTTTATTTGTTGTTTGCAGGAAAAACGTGTACACAAAAAGTTCGAGTTTGCAATAAAAAATATTTTTCTGATAGAGTAAAATATCTAAAATGATTGAAAATTGTTAAAATCAAAGCTTTTATCACCAACGAGTATAACATGTCAACATATTTTTTTGAATTTGTTGACATATAGTCCAATATACATATATACATATATGTAGATGTGTGTCTTTTTCCCTGATATATCCAATCTCTTTTGCAAAATGCAAAACGCAAGAGTTCATAACTGCCATATATGTATACCAACATATACATAAATATTGTGCAGAGTTTATTTACTCACATGCCATGGTCTGCTGGTTAGAAACAAAAGCAACCAGAGTTGCGAGTTTATGAAGTCAAAAACCTTAGAAAGCTGGAAACATAAGCCACAAAATGCGAATTATCAACTAGATGTTGATTAGGTAACGGTTGCATTGCTGCATATACCTGTACTTTTGTTTTTGTATGAAGAAGAGATGTAAATTACATAACTGCACTGTTTGTTAACTGACCATATGCGAATAATTTCGATGTACCTATAACTGCTATAGTCGCCAGCACTAACAAAGCACTACATACTTGAGAAGATAAACAAATAAGTAGGARAGAGCTAAGTTTGGATGCAACCGAACATTTTGTATTTTTGAAATTTGAATCAAAKCTAGAAAAGTAAACAAGACTTAAAGAAATCAGAATAAATGGTTTTTCGGCAAAGTCAATTTATTTTATTCAAAATAGTCTCCTTCTGCTTCAACACAGCTCTTTGCACGGTGCAAAACCATGTCGAACGAGTGTTTTAGCTCGTTGGCCGGTATGGCCACCAGTATGTCGGTGCAAGCTTTTTGAATAGCCTCAACGTCTGCATAACGCTTTCCATTCATGGGCAAATGCATTTTTCCGAAAAGGAAGAAGTCGCAGTACCATATCAGGTGAAGACGGAGAGTAGTTAATGGTTAAAATGCGATTTTTGGTCAAATAATCGATCACAAGCACCGATCGAATATTTTATTCTGAGGAAGTTTTCGTCGTCAGTCAATATGTGCGGAACAAACCGTGCACACACCTTTCATAAGCCAAAATTTTCGGTCGAAATATGAAAAATCTATGTTTTGGAGATGGCCAACTCCATTTCCATGAATTTCAAGCTCATTTGCGCACCGATAACGCAAACATACTGACACTTGAAATGCAATAACTTCTTTTTCAATCTATGAAATGTCATGAAATGATCACTGGACAATCGATGAATATAGCAGATTATAGTCGACGTATAGATGGCGCCACCAGGGGGCGCTAGATTCAAAAAGTCCTGTTTGACAATTTCACATATTTTTGTTATTAGCGTTGAGTTAATTTTGATGAAAGTTTGAAGTTCTTATATAGGATTTAAAGSAGATAGCATTATTCTGATTTTATCAATTTATTTGCCAATACTATATGTAGTTATAAGGCCAGAGATTTGTAAAATGCTAACAGGGATTCATCAAGGTTCCTCACCTAAAATCACCAATAATATTGAGTAAAGTATGATTCAATTTAAGTATAACATTTTTCTCGAAGGCTTTCTTAATCTCTCATATACGTAATATTACATATAATTATGTTTCCTTTTGCCGCAGGCAGATAGAGTTGCAACTAAACAAAAAATATTTTTTTTAAAGTTTTCYCAAAATTTTCATAACATCCAATCAAATTTGACCCGGACTGGGAAGAAAACTTCTTTTGCACGTATTTTTAATAACTTTTATATTCTCCTGTATGCCAACATTTAACCTTGGAACTTCAGCGAATKTGGTTTTAATAATTTTAGCTAAGTTTTAGAGCGCCATTTGATAGATTGCTGGACGGATTTGACGAATTTTTTGGAAACTCAGATTTTCAGCTATATAGACAAGCACTCTACTCAACTTCGCTTTAGTAAAAGATTCAGACATTTTGGTATGCATCTGGCTGACGCGCTTCATTCCCAAAACATTAAC